ACCGCATCCGCTCCTGAGTCCTGGCCAGTGGGAAGTGTCAGTGCATGAATGGCCTGTAAGCGATCTCAAAGGGGCGAAGGAGGCATTGTTTCCTTACGTGTTTCTTGCTCATTTCTGCTCGCTGGAGTAAGCATGTAATGGCTGGAGTTCTCGGACTGTGAGATAGAAGTCACATGCTGAAAATGTGGAACAAGAGAGGAAGCCTAGGTTTCTGACACAGACACACCCCTCTAGGAGTCCTGGATTGCCCTTCTCTGGACATGTTTTACATGAGGAATCATCTTCTAGTTTAAGCCACTGTTATATGGCTTAAACCTATAATTTTTTTTTTAAAAAAGATGACCGGTAAGGGGATCTTAACCCTTGACTTGGTGTTGTCAGCACCACGCTCAGCCAGAGAGCGAACCGGCCATCCCTATGTGGGATCCGAACCCGGGGCCTTGGTATTATCAGCACCGCACTCTCCCGAGTGAGCCACGGGCCGGCCCTAAACCTATAATTTTAATCAATAAAGGGGTGAATATTTCTTCTCTCTCGTTTGTTTATATTGTTTTCTTTATACTTATCCTTTATTAATCACCAAATTATTTGCCAAAAGTATAAATTTCCTCTCAATATGATTAAACCTACTAATCAGCTTATCAGTTTCTTCCCCAGAAGTGAACTTTTCTGAAGTCCTTTCTGGAGCTTCAGTGTGCACTAGCTGTTCCCTAAGATGGCACGGCAGTAATTTTAGGATCGTATTTCATTACCATGCTGGGGAATTTCACCTGCCCTGTGTTGGACCCCCTGATTCAGGATCTTAAATCCGTTTTTTTCCTCCAATTTTAGGAGAGGGTACATGGGGATTAAACTTTCGAAACATGTTTCTCTAAAAATGACTCTATTCTACCAACTCTCTTTATTCATAGTTTAGATGGGTATAACTACATGGAAAATCTTTCTTCATATTTTTTAAGGCAGTGCTCCATTATACAGGTTCTAGTAAGAAATTAATGCCATTGCAAATGCTGATTCTTTGCATGTGACTTGTTTCCTCCACTCTGTGGAAGCTTTTATGTTTGGCCCTGGTATTCTGAAATATCACAGTGATGTGTCTTGGAGGTTTTTGTTTTTCATCTATTGTGCCTCACTCAGTAGACTCATCTAGAAAGTCCTCTATACTGAGAAATTCATTGTTTTTCTTGGATTTTTTTTCCTTCCTTTGTGAATCTCAAGAACTTAGGTTATTTGAATGTTATACCTCCACATCTCCTCTATTTTTCTTTTTTATACAACTTTCCTCTCTTTACTTTTTTAGTCTAGTTTTTTTTGAGGGAAAATTACCACAATTTTATCTTCTAACTCACCTTCTCAATTTTTGAACTCCTACTTTCTCAGTATTTATTTCCAAGAGCTACATTTTTACCCCATCCCAGGATATTTTTTAATTTCCCTCTCTCTTCAGAAATAGTGTCTTCTTTTTGCTTCTTGGGTTCAATATTTCTATTTCTATGAGGCCATTAATTACAGGTGTTGTATCTGTAAAATAGTTATTGTTTTAGGTCTTTTTTCTGCACTGTTTCTGTTTCATTCAGGTTTGTTTATTTCCCGCATTCGGTACTAGAGTTTCTCCTAAAATATTTTTGTATTCGTGATCCTTGAGTATCAGCTTATATTTTGGAGTAAGACAATAAAAACATTTGAAAGCTCTTTCAGCATGGATGGCACCTGTTATGTAGTGGGCTCCAATGTATCTTTTTTCTGAGTGGGCTCTTTTATTTAGGAGACTCCCCACCTCATCTGTCATTATGTGTTAAGTCATTTCTCTTAGCGTAGTCTGTTACTCTGTGTGGAAACTTCCAGTGTCTCATCCATGAGGTATAAATCTTGTTTCAGTTTCCTATGACTGAGGAGGGAAGGAGGTTCTCTATCTCAGAATTCAGTAGGTAGCTATTCATTTAATTTATTTGTTTAAGGCTGGTTCTGACCCTTTCAGCTTTTCTGGTATTTCTGCATGTGGTTCAACCTTTCGAGAATATATTAACTAGGATGGGTTTAAATTGCTGTAGCATATAGACACTAAATGTATAATCTCTTGAACACAGTAGGATTTTATTTCTTGTTCCTCAAGAATCTAAAGTGGGTTTTCCTAATTGACAGGCAGCTCTTTACACAGTGAATTAAGGACCCAGACTTTTTCTATCCCATAGCTTTGCCATCTCTAGAGCCTCTTCATTAACTGCATTCAGCCAGCAGAAAGGTAGAAGGGACATCAAGAGGAAAATACAAATAATGAGGAGTAAAATTCATGGCTACGACTTAGTGAGGAAAAATGTGGGTAAACACTGTTAGGTGGCTAAACCAATCTCCTATTTGCTTTCCCATAGTTTTTAATTACCCTAAAAACCCTACGAGTTAAGCTTTATCTCCATTTTTTGAGAAAGAGAAAGTTGAAATTCGAAGAGGTAACTTTCTCAGGTTCACTGCTGCTACGTGGCACAACCAGGGTTTGAAGCCAGATTGTAAAACCAGTTAGATTTGTGGTGGAAGATAGCTTTTTAACAGTATTTAAAAATAAATGTTTTCCTTTGACTTTTTTTTCCCACAAATGCCTAAAGTGCCTCAAAGATACATAGGGTACTTTGAAAATTGTTGTATATCCTGAACTTCTGACAAGAAGTCCAAAGGGTAGGTAGTCCAAAGCTTGATGAATCATGTAAGAAACTGGATTATTAAAATAAGCTAACCTGATGTGGAGTAACTGGGCAGTTGTTTTAGATTGGACAGACAGAGACTGCCTATCTCATAAGGTAATATGAAGTATCTGTCATAGGTACAAAGGTGTGTATAAGATATCTGTACACTTTAAAGAAGAGTGATCAAGTGAATTCCTATGACCCTGTCACCAAGCCTAAGAAATAGAATATTGTCAGTAACATAGGAGCCCAATGTGTTCCTTCCTGGTCACATTCTCTTTCCTCACCTCCCTCAAGTAACCATGATCTTGAATTTTGTGCTAATTATTACATTGGTTTTCTTTAAAATCCAATTAAATGTATATGTAACTTTAAACAGTATTTTGGTTTGCCTATTTTAGAACT